TGCCAGTCGAAGCCATAGGCCTCGCATCGGGAACAAAGAAATGCATCAACCTCATGTCAAACCTCCAGTGGCTGTGGGGAAAAAGTAAGGGAAACTCTCTCCAGAAAAGAAAAAAAAGAAAAAAACTCGGGTGATATCCCCAACAGCATGCCGCACCACCCTGCAGCCCTCGCAGAACCTCGTGGAACCTTGGTGGAACCCTGGTGGAACCCTGGTGGAACGCTGGTGGAACCCTGGTGGAACCCTCGTGGAAGCTTGCCTCAGCGCCGCCCCGGACCACCCCGGAGCCTATCTGGGCTGAGACCCCAAAGCTTTCAGCTGTTGGGGGAAAAAACAAGCAAACAAACAAACAAACAAACAAACAAAGAAACCGAAAACAACAAGATAACAGGCAGTACTGAAGGTGTCTGGCCTGACTTGAGTGAGCAAAACAGTTCTAGCTGTCCTCGGCAGCTTCCTGGCTCCCTGGCTTCGGATTGGATGTCCTTGGCTTCCTTGGCCACTGAACAGGGGTCCCTTGCCGACAAGAAACGGCGACAGCCTACAGCTCAAAGCTGTGACCCGTTTTTGGGTCACCCCAAATGGGTCATAACAAGTGGGGTCGTTTCGGATTCTACATTCCCCAACCCCCAAGCCATGTGACCCACATGCCATAAAACAAAAGACACAATTATCTAGCCCCTTGGTTTTGCTTGATAATTTATCTGATTCGGCTGCCATGTCCTTCAACCGATAGACATGAGCCAGGAGCGAAGAAGCAGTAGTCAATCTACTTATTGTCTCAACAAAGGCTTACACTTTCACCCCAAATGACCTGTTGCTGCATGCGCGTGGTTGTGCACCTTTGCATAGGCTTTGCTCTCCTTACCCATACACGATCATAGCATAGACCATTGGGGCGTCTTGCCACCCGAAGTAGACCAACCGATGCTGTCCCCACTATGTAAAGGTACAAACGTCAGGGGATTTCCCCTTGAACAGTTGGGGCCCACGCTCTTGCCATCATTTGAGGGTGGGAAACCTTCTGAGAACAGCATTCTCTTAATTATGTGTCCCCCCCATTCAACATCACCCCACCTGGGTCCGCTGGATCCAATTCAATGAACGAAACGGCCACGTTTGGTCTTCTCTGGGAAACTCTCCCCAATCAATTGCGCAGTGACCCTGGTAGAAAAAGGGAACCATTTCAAATGGGGTCGATTCCAGCTTAGTGGCAAGTCCACCAAAGGAAAAACAACTTTGCATTGAAGGAGCGCAACCTGAATGTTCATTGTAGGACTTTACTCTCAACTCAAGTGCATCGTGGAATCTTCTGTGACACCGAAGTGGGCACTTTACCTAAGGGATCTCTCTCTGACAGAAAGTGGCCCTAAAGCTCAATTTCTCACACCTCTACTCAACTGACCAAGAACTAAATCATTGGTTAGTACTATCCATGGGGGCACAAACCAAAGGACTGATGGCAAGCGTAGCATAACTAAGAACCAAGCACACTTGCAGCTGACCCAGTACCTTGCCCCATGCCCAAATCGCTCAGCCAGGTCGCTGATGGGCACTCTTCCGAGATCTCCACCATAGCATAGTCACACCTTAAGACTGGCCAACATGAGGATCCGGGCTAAGTTGCCGCTCTTGTCGCATTTGTTTGTGCAGGTGCTACAAGCAACTGCCACACATCACTTGATTCAACATCAAAACCTGGTACTAGCATGGTCCGGTGTACCCAACATTATTTGAATACATAAGGCTGGCCGCACCTATTTCTGTTTGGGACCGTCCTAACTAACCTCATCTGCCCGGGTTTGATTGTGGCTCACTTGAGGGTGGACACACATTTTTGAAACCCTTGAACCTCACACATGGCACAGATTGCAGCTTCTATGTTCTGGAAACTAAATCCAAACTGGCACACGGTGCACAGAAATCCTATAGTCACAGCTCCCTACTGGAATGGATTAACATCCCAACTCTTCGCTCCTGCATTTCCCCACCTAAAGGGGGGGCGGGGGAGCCGGGCGTCACCCAATTCCATGTGTCTAGCCTTCTCGACAAAAGAAACTCTCCTTGGCCAAGACCTTTTTTCTGAGACCTGCAGCTGCAGCTGTTCACGAATGAGAACAAAGGAAAACAAAGGACTAAGTCACATGCCAAGAACGGTGAAGTTGAATGGATTTGACACAGTCCAACCATGATCAACTGCCGAAACTGAAGAAACATCTGCAAAAACAACTACCCCGATGAGTTTAGGGCGTGTTCATATCCCCCCCAAACAAAAAACGCTGCATCCAACTATGCCAAAGACTATCCGGAGGTAGGACTCTCTCCCTCTTGGTCGCTGGGTGAGGAGAACCAACTGGAGGCATCCGGAAATGTTGCTAAAAGGCTTCCTTTGCAAGGGTTGACAAACGACTACCACATGAATTGATCGAATCACAATTTATGTTAGGGAACCATTCAGGGGGGAAAGGCAATGAAACACATGATGATCTCCTTTTCACTTGCTACTGGAAAAGTCTGGCTCGTGGGCGATGTTGAGCCCAAACGGATATGGCAACCCCAAATGGGTGATTTCCCTGCAGTTTTCCCGTGAACCAACCCCAAATACAATTGTCCCAACTCCGAACAAGACACACTCCAAAGAACCTCCCTCGGTATTGTATTTGTTTAAACATCATCAACTTTCTGCACCCAAAAAGTGCACCCTGAAAACAAGGACACATAGATAAAACAATATAGTTTTTTGGGTGCTGCTCGCGCCGACAGGGCACTTCTCAGCGCCGACCGCCCAGAAGAGCTGCAACAGCGCCCAACGCCTTGGAGATTGCTGACACGCAAGCGGAAGACGGCCCGACGTATGGCACAAAAAGAAACGAGGAAACTCCTTTTGTTTTTGTTTTCTTAATCCGGAGTTTAAGCAACATAATTGTGTGGTAGAAGGTGGTTGGCTTCCTTTCCATATTTACGGCATCCATTGTGGGATGCCATGGTCAAAACTGCGACTCTGGACATGGTTCCCTTCACAGGGATGGGTATGACCAAGTAGATCCGTGCTGTGACTCTGGCACATGACTCTGAAGGCAGGAAACCAAGGACACGGGACCTTTACCTTTCCCACAAACGGCACCTCTCCTCAACTTAGCCCCCAGCAACATCGCTGGTCAGCGCCGGCCATGGGAACGGGCGCGCCAGCCAACCCGAAACGTGCAAAGGGTGTTACAGTTAGATATAGCCTTGTCCGTCTTTCCAACCATATCCAACCGCAAAATTCCAGCAATTTATCATAAAAAAATCCCCCCGCACAACTTGCCACCTTCATTCGTTCCCCATTAAAAAAATCATTCTTATCCATTCTGTCCAACTAATGACATTTATGAATTCAACTATTCACAACTGCAATTACACCTCTTACAGAATGGGATTATATGTTCTATTGTATGGGTAAATTCGTTATCTTTTATCTGTGCTGTGAGACTAGTCATTATACTACCATGTTTCATGTCAATAGAAAAACTACAACCACAGTAATTACATTGATTGGTGATATTATCTAAAAACCATTGAGCATTCACATAACCTTCCTTAGGTATGCTTCTTTTTGCATTCCTGTCCTGTTCCTGGTAATTTAAAATGTTCCATTCAAAATAACAAATGATACATTCTTGATTAAATACATCAACAGTATCTTTTGTATATCAACAAAATGATTTTGTTTAAATATCTACACCTTGTAATTGCTGTCCAGATTCATTCTGGATAATTCTTTACCAAAAAATGGTTATAATCAAAATTGGTATGGTGTCATCAATGCTACTGCCTTGGGCAGAATGACATGTAGAACAATAAGCAAATATAAGATTACTTCTTAATGTATCAACTGGTAAAGACTGTAGAACTTCAGTTTCAACATGTTCAACGTAAATATTCCATCGCTTCCAATATGAAATGTTTTATATTTGAAATTTACATTAACAACTGCAGTTTGCAGTTTGAGTTTTAGTATATTCCCAACACATTAAGAATTATCCTACTTCATATTCACCCTTTCTATTTTATAATCTTCTAATTTCACACACCAGAAAGGGAATCCCCAAGCAAAAAACTTGCATCATGGCTTGAACTGGTGGTAAACCCGGATTGGTGAGCTTGCTATAATCTAGAGCAGCGGAGGCTGCTTGCAGGCCCTCAGATTCTCAGATGGGCTTCAGAGACTCTAGCAGATGGGTCAGAATTTGGCTGAAGGGAAACCAAAGGACGCCAAACAAAGCTTCGGTTGTTGATCTGTCAAAGGCTTGGAACCCTGGAAAGAGCATGTGAGGCATCCATTCCAAATCCACAAATAAGCTCTGCCGGAGCGCGCGAGCCAGAGTTGCGGGTGATGCAAGTGCCTCCCAGCTTGTGGGTTCCATGAGAAGCCACACATATCCCGAGATCCCGAGATATGGCTGACCATTGTGCCGGGGTTTCGTGAAGCTTTCAAAACCAACAGGGACTGGTTTAGAGGCCTGAATCGGCTGGAAGGCTTTGGGAGCCTTTGGACTTGGAGGTGACTCATGACAGGCGTCTGCTTCCTTCCTCCGATCTTAACTTTACCCAGTCAGTTCCCACTTGTTTCTATGGTCAAGGGAGCTTTTTAGGCAAGTACCTGTGCGGATCATGTCGAAGGGCAGCGAGTGCTACTTGTTATGAAACCTTTCATTGGGGGTTCGACAAGTCTGAGGATGCCTGTTAAAGGAACCACAACGCAACGATGGCCATGGGGAAATTGTGGCCTGCAGTTTGGGGTGAGGGTTGTGACTTCCGCCGAGGTTTCTTTCTTGGGGCTCGGAGGCGGGTACTAATTTTAAGTGGGGCCTTTGGGCGGACATCATTCGGGTGGGGAGTTGTGTCCACCAACCATTGGTAAGGAATTTAAAACGTCATGGCCATTTCGGCCATTCGGTTTGACGTGGTCTTTCAACAGGAGCAAACCTGCTCCAAGCACCAGCCATAGCAAGCCCCACCTCCTGCAAGGGGACGGCGTATCTCGGCCTGGAGGGAGCCGAACAATTGGAAGCGTCTTCCCTCAGAGCTGTTTACTCCCCTGCGGAGACAAAAGAAGCCCCCCAAACACGTGATCTTTTCAACGATGCCTTGCTGGGGGTGCTTCCTCAAGAAGCCACAAGGAAAGGAATCATTTGTTTTGTCCAACCCCTGCAAACCCCAAGAACCTTTTAATGTTGGACCTTGTTTACTGTGGGGGTCCCCCCCCCCTGAAACAGTCAGAGCAGTCCTGGGGATCCTGAATAGGGATTTGGCGGGGGCTTGGGTGACTTGAGTATTGCTTTGGTATTGACACTACTGAGTTTTGTATTGCCAGCACTTCCTTTTGGATTGCCACTACTTGGTCTATTATTGCCAGCACTTCCTGTTGGGTTGCCACTACTTAGTTTAGTATTGCCAGCACTTCCTTTTGGGCTGCCACTACTTGGTTTAGTATTGCCAGCACTTCCTTTTGGGTTGCCACCCTAAGACTGGACATTAAACATGGTACCCAAACAGTGCCCCTTAAAGAGGACCAACCCCCCTTGTGGGCAACCCCCTTTGCAGGACTGTTTGGGGCTTGTTTTTGGATGGATTTGAGTAAAGAATTTTGATGGTTGGGGCTTAGGATCAAATCAGGAATTCAGAAGCTCATGTCTTGGCCTGGTCCCTTGCGAAGCTTTTAGATTTTGAGGCCCACAGCATCTCAGGTTGAGCAACCAAAGATTCGCAGAGTTTCACTACTGGGACTGAGCCAGGAAGCTGAGAGGAGAAATCAGTTGCCCATATTGCGAATTTTGAGTCAGATTTGTTTCAACGGGATTTTTTTGGGTTCGAACTTGACATAAATAATGGTACCGAAACAGTGGGGGAGGGTCGTGTTTAAGCCGGGGAAACTTGACATGATTCAGACTACCGATATTAAACCAGCACCACAAAAGGTGCCACCATCAGCGCATGATTTAACATGGTCACCAGCTCACTTCCTGAATGGATTGCCCCAAAAAGATCGAACCTCTTGCTGCCAAAGTCTTCCAAAAACTACAGCAGTCAGACATCTCCCGGGATGCATTAGCCTGTAATGCAGCCAACATGTCCTCTATTCTTGTTTTTGTTTGTTTGTGGCACTGGTCATATTGTCAGGTGCTAGCGGAAAGCCAACGCGCTGCTAGACAAGTTTCTCAAATCTTGGGGTTGATTTCTCTCGCTTTTCAACCCTCGTTCTTTTCAAACCCCTGCCTTGCTCAGTTTTCACTGGTTTTCGGGGAAGTAATTAGCCAGACTTCCAGAGGCTTTCCTTGAAAGAAGCCGAGTGCAATCCACAGGACCACCAAAAGCATTACTCTACGGTAGATGGGGGACCACCCAAAACCACCCGGGTAATATTGGCCGTGGCTCACTTGAAACATGGGTTGGTGCTTTTCCAGCAGCTTGCAATTTCGGAACATAAACTGGCTGATTGGAAACCTCCATGTTCGTCTCGTGCGGGCAAATGGTCATGCACTTTCCTGCTCGTTTGCGATCCGTTCCGTAAATGCTAGGAAAAGGCGAAGCCTTTTTCGGACAACTGGGGTTGCCCTGATAACTGGGCTAGGGGATGTGCATTCAATTTGAACAAATCAGTGTCTTCAAACATCCTGTAGATTCCCTGCAAAGGGCGCATGGCAATTGTTTGCAGTCACAATTCCTGCCCAAGCATCTTCAGGAATGGATCATAATAGTTCACCGGTCCCTAGGACAAGAACCTTCGCTCAGCCGGTCGCAAGTCAAAGTCTTGGCGAGGAGGTCAAATTGTTGAAGGCCAAGCCGATGCACAACCAAAGAACACTTGAACAAGTGCCGTCAAAAACACGGATAAAGTTCAGGAGTGGAAGTCCAAACAAAAACACCATTCCTCCAATCTTAGCTATCTGTGCTTGCGGCTTTCCTTCGACCGTCCCTTCTATCCACAAACGCACGCACCCATGCACGCGCGAACGCACACATGCGCACGCACACGCCCCCCCATACGCACAAACACACACCCGACAATGTTAGCAACAAAGATCAATAGGTGGACTGCGCAGACAGGAACCCTAGTAAAAATTGTCCTGGAAGTTGGGCCTGTATAGACCCCTGCTCAAGTTGTGACTTGGTATATGTGCCGATAAGGTCAACCGCTGCTGTTGATTCCAACAAGGTAGACTTCAACCCACTCGGGTGAACATGGACCGATGCCCACCTTGTGCACATGAAAGTCATGACCAAACCTGGCGTGAAAGGGGTTACGGGACTGCGATGCTTGTACGTGTTTACACGGGGGTGCTTTTGGAGGCACCGAAAATGGCCGGTGTCCCTATGATTCCTCGTTGCAACCTGGAAAAGGAGACCATCCGAACTAAACACACCCAAGGGCCCAGCTAGACTCTACTGGGCTCTTGGAAATGGAGGCCGATCTCCTGATTAGCATAACCAAAGTTTCGGTAACCTTCCGCTTTTTGGCTAACCCCTCGGTAAAGTTGTATCCCAAAAAATGCTTCAAGAGCTTTCCATAAGCCAAAGTTAAGTTCAATACTGATTCAGAGCCACAGCAAGGGACGCCATGGGAAGTTTATGGTCCTTAGTGGGCATCAAAGGTCCCAAGATGATAGTCACTGTTGGGCTGCAATGGCTAATGCCCTTGCTATTTGTCTGAATCAATAGTAAGGATGAAGGATGTTCTTTAAACAGCGACTAAGTATCGAGCGTGGCTTACGTCTTGGTCGGCAAAGCACTGCTGGGCCTCACCGGCTCACTGGGCAGAGTGCAAAGATCCTGGCTGCATCTCACACTAGTTCCAAGACGTCTCCATACCTCCCCTACAGCTTTGCCCCAAACCAAATTCCGCTCCATATTGAACATGTATTAATTTCAAGCAAGATCCCAGTTTGGAGCCTCCCTTGGATTCCTTTCACAGTTTCCAAGGGTTCTGGGAAGAGTCTGCCTGGTTATCCCTGGGAAGTGTGTCGTTCCAACATGTTGGACTCCCCGCAAGGTCGCCTTCCCAACCTTCCAAGAGATTCAAGACTTGGACTTGGAGGAGCAACAAATCTAGCTTTCCGAGGCCTGCACCGGGAGCAACAAAATGCAGGGGCCCAGGCACGTGTGTGTTGGTGTGTGTGTGTGTGTGTTGTCCGGTACTTCCATGCCCATTGTCGGTGACAATAAAAATCTATATATGCATCCCAGACCTCCATTGGCCGCGGCAAAAAGAAAGACTACGTCCATTCTGTCGATATTTAACGTTGAATTTGAAGGGACGCCAAACCTCTACTGTAATTTCGGAGTCATGAGCCTAAAAGACAAACAAAAGTGAGTTGCGCACTCAAAAGGGCCAACTTGACAAAAGCGACGTTTTGGAGTGAGTCATTCCATTAGGATACGTACAGTAATCATATTAGCCTGCCTGCATATTCCTGTGGCTGCACAGGGAACATGAAGGAACATCAAAACTAGCAAGAGTCGAGCAGTTTAGATAAGTCTGGCAATGCAAGTGTGGTTCAACTCAACCTGAACCTGAATTCACCACAGAGTCCCCTGCTCGGGAAAATATCCCAAAAAACCTCCAGCAACGGGGAAGACAAAACTTGGCACTCTTTTCTTGGTGGTTGATTTTTTTGGGGGAACCCCCTGGGTAGAGGTCATTCAGATTGAGATATCTATATCCACCAGCCACGTTTGAGGGGTTCCGCATGAAACGTCGAGGCCAAAAAAGCCACCACTTGGCGTGTCCTCCATGGCTGCACTCGCCATGAGGAGCCGACTTCCGTCCCAGCCAGCCAGCGCCAGGCACCTGAGCTACAGGGGCTTCCTTTCGTTGCCATCCGCAGTGAAGAAGTGGGAGAATTACTTCGGGTAACTTCCACATTCCAAATACAAAGAAATAGAGATCCTTTCCATTGGAGATTCAAATAGAAACTCCATGAGGAGGAGCCCAAAGGTCCTTGCCAAAAAAGCAGAACAGCCCTGTGATAGAAACCAACGCTTGGGCATATTTGTGAATCAACAACTCTGGCCAAAATGCTAACCCTAGCCCCCTCCCCGCACCTTCGATTAAAAGCCTTTGCAAGGTGGGGGTGTTTTCCCAAACAGACCTCATTGAGGCAGTAAGGCCTTCGAATCGCTGGGGTATTCTTGGGGACTGGGTTCTCATGCAACGGGACCGCATACAGGAATGTCGGCACAAGGGTAGAACAAGTTGGCAACAAAGGGAGGCCCCAAGGAAGCCGAGCACAACTATGAGGGGGCTGCATAATTGGAATGGGGGAGGGGTTGGGGTACCATAAGCGCCGTAAAAATAGCCATGAGCATGTGACAAAATATGACAACACATAAGTTTAGTATCTGTCAGTGATGATTCAGCTCTTTGTTTCATTGTATTTTGGTATTCCCTTGGGTTTGTTCATCTTTTGAGACCGGCACGAAGCAACTAGGAATCGTTGGGGGGAAACCCACTTGGTGACTCTTGTGGGTTTTTGAAAGGGAACCAAGGAACCTCGTCTCATGGACTCTTCAGCCTAAGCTCGTAGCGCGCGGGCCTATGGACAACCCTGACGTATCTTCACCTCGTGGGCGCAGTGCCACTGGAAGCCCTTGCCAGCAATGAACTCTTTAGTCCAGTTGGGTGATTCTGGGTTGGAGAAAGTTGATTCAACTGACCTGGCAAACGTTGAGCTCCGCAGGGAAATAGAGAGACTACTAAATGAATGTGTTTTGGGTTGCAAGTTAATTTGCAGGATGGTACCAGTAACCTAGGTTTGCCTCCAGGATCTTGTGACAGTTGTTTATTGCTCTTGAGTGGGTTTTTGTTTGCCACAAATCCCTGACATGGGATCGATCCTGACCACTCGGGATACAAGTGGCACAATATGTCAAGTGGGTTGCGAGGAACCCGCAAGGTGTGCAACCTGATGAGCGGCTTTTCCCCCAATGGAAGCTGCTGGGCAACAAACGTGTGCGTTTGCACTTGAACCTTTATCTCTTCGGGACCAACTGACCAACCAGGTATGTGTTGACGTCAGCATTTGAAGACGGGCTGTTTGATTCTATCCGTCTGGAAAACCACCAACAAGCAACGTTGGTAAAACGGAAGTGATAAAAAATGACCAATGGAAATGCAACCCCTGGGAATAATTGTGAGCTTGCCCTCGGATGGATGCCATGAGAGTGATATTTCAGGGATGCATGAGCTTTGTGCTTCACCTTTGTGGCCATATCCTCAACCTTAAGTGGAGAGTGCTTTCCCCTGGTGCTTGTCTCCCAAAAACCACTTCTTGTGTTCTTTCCCAATGCTTCCCGTGAACACCCCGAATCGAAGCGGATCGAAGACCCACGAACTGGCCCCCGCACCATTTGCTCTCCTGCGTGTGCGATCCTTTGGGTCAAAGAGAGGTGCCTTGTGGAAGCCCGTTGCTTGGAAACCTGAACTTTGATCCATTTTGATCCTGTGTATTTAGGCCGGGTTGGAACAGCCTTTAGAACTGGCGATCGGCCAGCAAGTCTGCAAAATGAGGGTGATGTCGCGGGCTGACTACAAAGGGCACCCTCAATTTGAGGAGGTGTTATTTTCAATCAAGTGGTCAACAAAAAAGCTGTAACTTGATGTAAGTTGAAGCAGGGCATCTATGTCATTGAGGCCGTCCTGAAAACCAGAAGTCATCTTGTAGTGGACGCATTGGCTCTGGGTCTTACCAATGTTCCAAATGACCTGGAAAGCCTTTCTGTAGGAAAATGAACATACATGAGCATAAGCCCTTCGAACAAATTCAACCCTACACCATTGCAACCCCTTTTCCGCCAGCATCTGCTTTCCAACCTTATGCCTACCAAATCACAGAAGGCCCACTCCCTCAACGTGGCCCGAGAAAACAAACGACATATAGCCTCAACTGGCATTTTGTCTGAACCCATTTTATAGCAACATGGTCCATGTCCTGCTCCTGTGCGATCCATCTCTTACACCCCATCTACAAATTAAATAGATATTGACTGGAGGGGTGTGTTTTTGTAACTCCAAAGTTTCTCGCCATGAGTTTGTCCTTTTGGAATATATCGCAGCCGCAGGCATTGCCAGGGGGAATCCGTGGCCCTGATCAAAGTAGCCCCCCTCACCAAATGGATGCTTTCGCAATTCGCTCACAAGCAACCTTTTCTCCTTCAAGAAAAACTGAGCTTCAACAACAAATGATACTGTCAGGAAGGAGTCCCCATGCTAACACCTTCCCAAGCTTTTCACCAACTGTCTCAGGATTGGCAGTTTGACCCCTAAACCAGCAGCATGTTATTGCATACAAGTTATCTTGTTTCGGGAGTCCCTCATGTGTGCGTCTCATGGAACTTTGTATGTCTCCCTGAAACATCACCTTACCCAACGGGGTCTGAACTCGGATTGACCCAAAGCCTGAAATGAGAAATCCCCAAGCACAGGGCCTACCTCATGGCGAGCTCTTTTCTCGAGCTGGCCATAAACTGGGCAGATCACTCATCCACGCCTCGCTTGGTCCCAGCATGCCGCATGGCAGCACCGCCCCAGACATCGACCTGGATTGGTTTCCCCGTGAACACATCTGGCTGGTAAGAACGCGGGTGCCCTTTCCGCGTGAGATAGAGTTAAACACCACGCCTTACACTCCGAAGACTCGACTCGATGGGCACAAGCTGGAAATTTGTTACTTGAAGGCACAAACTTGGTTGCAAAAGGACAACAGGTTTTGTACCAACCAACCCTGTGAAACGACAACAATTGTCCACCTTGTTCTGGACCAATCGTATGAACCACCCAAACATAGCAGCTGGGGAACAAGGACAACTCAGGAAGTTGCCATGGTGTTGTGACGAGGTGTTGTGGTTGGTTTACCATGGCATTGTTTTTGGAAGCAACCGTACCTGGGCTTGTGGGACGGGTTGCTCCCCCAAAAGGCTAAGTCCAACAAAAAACCGAGGGTGTTTGAGCTTCCACATTGCAATTCCGGGAAGTTGTAAATTTCAATTCCAGCAAGACATACCCAAACTACCATGAGTTCCCCACATTGCTGTCGCAATCGGAGTTCATTTTTGGATGAAACATGGACATGTGCAGCAAGCAACACAGAGTCTTCGTTGTTCTTTGTTTGGATGCGTCATGGACATGTCAGCCCGGCACAATACTTGCTTAAGAGGACGTGGACGTATTGCCTGGGCATCCTGGTCTCGTGCGGCCCATGCCCTCCCCAAGCCAACGATAGACCATAGAAAATCCGTATGCTGCGGCTTTTGATCCTTGCCTCCAGGGTGGAGCATTGCCGCTCACGCCTGAGTCCAGAAAATGGGGTCCTGAGGTCGGAATGTTCGTTGAACACTTCCCTCCCGTCCAACATGAACATGACCGCTGACTGGATCTGACCGGGAATCCTGGTCTGAGCCTACTTCCTCCAAAAAGGGCCGCTATAGTGGCTTCCATGTCAATGGATGGGAGGGTCACATTAAAATAGAACCATTGCTTCAGCAACTGGAAGTTTAGTTCTGCCCGCCTTTGAACCACTAAGTGAATAACATGATGGATGCATCTGGGCATATTGCACTATCTCTTGAAATAGTTCACAAACTGAACCTACGTGACCCGTATCCGTTTTATTCCCAGTTGAGCCCCTTATACTTTGCCTAAATTAAATATACTGGGAATGTCTATCTGACCCCCTGCACCAAGCTTTGTCGACTTGTAGTGGGTCGAGGCGCATTGTCATTATTCAAAGGGTAGAAGGTCGTGTCGGTCGAACCACTAGGCAAACAAGAGCATGACAATTGTGGAGGTCCTTTTTTTTTATGGGGACTGGATTTCCAACCGAAAGCAACACATAAAACCCTTGACTATTCACTCACCCTTCTTCAATCGTGTTCCAAAACACACTCTTAAAACAGTGAACAAGGAAGCAAATGTGAGCCTGACAGTGTGAGAGTGCCAATCCACGAACTGTCGGCGCCTTGCCTCATTGCCAAGTCTGGAGCCAAAAGAGAAGATTCATTCAAAGCCCGCCACGAACACACAAAGGGTGGTTCCCTTGAGCCGCCAAAAGTCAAACCGCTTTCCGGAACAATGTCAATGTCCAAGCTTGAAGGTTAAAGCTCGGAACAGCAAGCAAGCTACATGGGAGAGAAAAACAAGTGTGGAAGACTACTGCGTGCAGGACAAGCCCCTAACATGGTCCGGGAGTTCCGCGAGCTAGCAACATAGTATCACGTAATTTCGTGCCAGTTGGCCCTCCAGGTGCCAGGAAGTGGCCCCAAAAACCCTATGTTCCACAACCAGGTCTGAAAATCAGCTATATGAATTTTAATAGGGAACCCCCTCAGCAGTGGTTCGACCTACATCCCCACCACGTCCACCGAAGGCTCCGGGACAACAAACCTCCAGCTCAGTCCGAGCTCGGGCTCCGCGCCCAGGGATCGTCCCACATCGGCGCCTATCAAACCAGCAAGCCCCCAGACGGAGCGGGCGTCCGCCCAAGTTCAAGTTGTTTCTCTGCCACAACAAATTTGAACCAAGCACAATCTAGCTTGATTCCCCCAAGGGGACCCCCAAGGGGACCTGGGAAAATAGGCCTCGTCGGTCTCTGGGTCTTGTGGTAAAACTGGGTTGTTGCGACCGTGTCCTCCCGAAACAAACAGGCAGCGTCCTCCCAAAACGGTATCCTCTTGGATCAGAGACCGCGGTACCCCGTTAAACGTTCACTTCTCCTTTGGGACCTCGGAAGGAACCCACCAGACGTTGACTAAATAGAAAAGCGGTGCGTGCCTAGCATTGAAGCTGGAACCGCTGTGTTCCCACCACTTGGAAATCGCCAGGCGACTTAGAAGCCGTCCAACCTTCTACCAGTTTGCGGTTCCAGTTATCCAGTGACCACACGTGTCTCCAGTGACTCCACCTCCGAGTGCCCGGTCTCCCTTGCGTCCTTGGGGAATCTAGGGTGTCATCATTGCTGTCGGGTTGGCGTGCCACATTTGGCCAACAACATGTTGAACATGTTGAGTGGTTCTCCCTGCAACTACGTCCCCTAAACCTTTTGAACGGCTCACCCAACCATGTTGACCATGTTCAGTGAACAAAATGGGACCCTGCACCAGTTTCCGCACTATGTTGCCAGCCTCGAGCCAGGGGTGTCGAGCTCTACATTACACACATGGAATCGTATCAAAATAGCGGGACCCCACAAATTATCAGCTGTTGGTTTCCTTTAAACCAACCTGAAAAGACGTACCCTCGAAAACAGTATGCATACATATAAATATATACGTACGTATATATGTACACATATGTATATATGTTCCAGGCCGTGGACCCCCCCCCCCCCCCCCCCCCCCCCCCCCCCCCCCTGTGGGGGTGGGGGGGGTGGTGGGGTGGTGGGGTGGTGGGGTGGTGGGGTGGTTGGGTGGTTGGGGTGTGGTTCGGAGTTGGTTTAGGCTTGGTGGGTTGTTGGTTTAGGGTTGGTTCAGGGTTGGTTCAGGGTTGGTTCAGGGTTGGTTTGCGGTGGGTTTCGGGTAGGTTTGGGGTTTGGGTTGATTTAGGCTTAGGGTTGGGGTTAAGGAGGGGTTGCAGCGTGGTTTGGTTTAGGGTAGGATGTTGCGAGAGGTGCGGGGGTGTTGGCTCACGGGGTGAAAGGGGGAGTCTGGGACCGAAGCTGGACAGCATCCCCAGCATTGCCAGCATCATCCCCAAGATGCGGATGATGCGGGGGAGTGGGGGGACCATACCATTGGGGGGGGGGGGGGGGTACGTGGCCCAGGGACTGGTACATATATACATATATATAGTATGTATGAAAGCTGTTCATCGGAACTCCGTCCCGAAGCCCTCTGTGCACGTCGGCCTCAATTTTGATTGAAAAATGGGGGTGCGATTACACACAAATTACCTCGTCATGGGCGAACCTTGTTTTGCACTTAGACCCAAAACAGGGTGAACCCATCACTATGTTTTTCTTTTTTAGTTGGCACCAACGGGAAGACATGAAACGCCTGTCAGCCGCTGCATCGGGTGGCCTCTGCAATGAGAGGATGCCTGCGATATGGAAGCATGCTGAAAGTCAGCCCGTAATATGAGGGCCAAAATCCTTGCACACAGCTCCTCTGTGCTCATTCATGTCTATAGCCCTAGACTACCCCATAAATCGGTTCTGAGTATTTAGGCCCTTATCGTACTTTTAGGGATGGCCGTTTTGCCACAAGAGCCAGTGCCAGCCAGGTCCCATTTCAAGAGGAACCAAAAGAAGACTTCTAACCCGAAAAAAAAGTTCCAAGAACCTGCCTTGGAGGGCTTTGTGTTTCTCACTTATCCCCAGTATATGTTATGTTGTGATTTTCCGTGTCGGCATCCAAGACATGGTCTTTGTTGAGGGAAAGGAAAACACACCCCTCGCCCTTCAAGCCACCAATCCAAATGGGTTTTATCCCTATGCGCAAATTCCGAAATGAACCTTTCTGGGAGCGTATCTAGGGGGGCGATGTTGTCCCTCAATTGTGGTTTTCAAAGTAACCTATAAGGGACAAGTGCAAGGGAAACAACCGCAGCATATCTGACTTTGATAATGCTGACGCCGGCTTGCTCAACTTGGCAGATTTATTGTGGTGTGTTACCCCCCCTAAGGTGAAGAATCCCCTCTTAAACAGGACACCCCCCATTTGATAAACAGGCGGTTGCTGATCCTAGGCAAACCTTCCCGTTCCCATTTCGACATGTACTGCTTTTTCCGACCCGCATGTTCCCTGGTTCTTCCAAGCCGCTGGCGCCAGGAGGCTTTGATGGCCGTCAGGGTAGAGGCAAGCTACACACACACTTCCCATCTTTTGGTCCATGTGTTCTAAATGGCGGCAATCCCCCCGTGCAAACCAGCGCCCGAACAAAATCAGAAGCCTCAGACCCAAAGCTTTCCCCCGTGAGCCATGGTCAAAGCTCCTCATGTGGGCCATGGTCGTGACTCCCTGAGCAACATTGGCAGTCCAAAATCCCGAAAGGGTCCATCCCTACTCACCCCGAGGGTGCTTTGACCATGGCAGACATATCTGGAAGTGCAACCCTTGGGTCCATCCAATTGAAGCCTGCGTGCCTAGAATGACAGGAAGTTGGCCTGTCCACTTGTGGCATGAACCAAATCCCATCGAAACCTTGCACCAGTTATACAAGCAAAAACCCTGTGAAACGGCCCTCGTTCGCCAGTCGCAGCATTTGGGGTCAAATTCCAATTTCCCGGTAGCCATGGGGGTGCTGCCCTCGTTCCAACAATCATGGAAGAGGACAGGCGGGTATTGGAAAACATCCGACCTCTGAGGCCCCTTGTCCACATCCATCTTTGGGAGGGTCCTAAGTTTTTTGAGGGACCCAATTTCCACATGCCATACTCCACATGCCCATAGCAGGGCCGACAAGACCAGTAGGTCCAAGACTTGTGTTGGTCAGAACATCGCCATCCGAAAACGCCGTGTTGGCCTCTCCACTCCCCATCCCATGCCTCGTGAAAGGGCCAGAACCACAGCATCGCCTGGCGAAACTGCTGCGCAACCAGGGCTTACGAGCTGGCCGCATGTGTTGTTGTTTTGTTTCTCTTGGGGGGGGGAGTCATGCGGCCCCAAAAGGGGCCTTCGAAAGGGGACTCAAATATAATGTATATGTTGATTTGCAGGACCCAAGCCCCTCCCTTGACAACCCCTCGCTTGAGGCCTAAGCCTTTAGATTGCTGGGGACCCGCCCTCGACCCAAACGGGAGGCTCCTGGAAACCGCTTCGTCCACCTCAACTTTAGCCCCACCCCCTAAAAAATCGGATTGATTCTTGCCCACAGTTTAATGTTTAGTGAAGCTCACATGCAAAAATGACGGTCATGGAGGGTCTGTCTCGCAATCGCTCGCCTCGCCTCCTTGGACGCCAAAAAACGCACTCCGCCGCCTCTGCCGCGGCGATCAACATGCCAGGGGGGAGCACCACCCCCCCAAGGCGGGTTTCGGCTCCAAATTAATAGCACACGGAGCCCCGAAACGCCGCTTTTCTCGGTCAACAGGCGTATTTGACAAAAAATAAAGCAGTGTTTTGCAGCTCCAGCAAGTGTTGCAGGGACCTCTTCGCAACAGATCCCTTCTGCACAGCCTCTGTAAAGCACTTTTGAGGCAACGCGACCTTAATTGGAAAAGGCATCCCCTGGGGGTACCTGGGCTGGATAACAATGAGCAGAACGTTCAACCCCCCCCCAAAAGAAAAACTGAAGATAAAGAGCTCAGCTTCGCCTTTCGATTTGCCCGAAAGTCAAATCCAAAAGGTGTTGCCCGAAAGTCAAATCCAAAAGATGTTGGGCATAGGTCAGTATTGGGAAAAATGTAACATTTGACGTAGAAGCCAACAAAACCAACATGCCCATTTGTGGAGGGATCTTTCTTTGGAGGATTCCCCAAGCAGATTTCTCGTGAGTGGGGAGGGAGTCCATACCTAGCTTCGGTTGAACACGCATCCACAGGAATGGCTTGCCTCGTGGTGCCCGTTGCTCATGCGTTGCCATCACAATCCGAAGCACAGCACGAGCGACCGGCGCAGAGGCGGCTACCTTGTATTTTCCTCAAAGTAGTCAGGCCCGCTGTGTTGGGGTGGGCCGTGCGGCTGATTCGGCTGGCTCCCACAAAGTCCTCTGCCATGGGCGTAGCCCATGCAGGGTTCCAGCAGGACTTCGCTCGCTTTGAAGAAACTGAGCTCCACGGAAAAGTTGCACCAGTCGTGAAGCTTGGGGATCAAATTAAAGCACCAGTGGCGCTGATGCCAATGGACCACCGAAAGCCTGTACGATCGCGCAAACGTTTGATGCCAAGCTGCAAAGCTTGCAAAGCCTCTGATCTATTGAAGAAAAGGCGGCTTTCACAGGAGTAGCACAGGAGGTTGAAACGGGCAAAGCTGCAGGCAGCCTCCTACGCCAACTTTGTCCTACATGTGCACCAATCACAACCAGCTCAACCGCTGGCCTGGGCCACAGAAAGGGCCTTTGCTTTTGCCCTACATCTGATTTATCTCGAGCACCCTCAAAATTGATATGGACATGACATGTTGCCAGAACAAGAGCCAGCGCTACCCTTTTGCTCGACCTTTGGGGAATGGCACGTACAATGACCTTAACTGACCAGCCATGTGAAAGGCAACCAGGTGGGCACCTTTCGTCCCGATCAGCTTCTCCGTTCACAACCCGGGTATTCAAGCATCAGCAGATGGAAACGCCCTGCCCAAAAGGTTGAAATGGTCGCCCCCACATGTACTTTGTTGGTGCTAGTAGCATGATGTTGGAAACAACTCAGACATACACATGTTCCAAACCGGTAAAGGTTTCACCCTTAGCCCAGACCTCCAAAAGGGAAACCTTCCGAAAGCAAGGAACAAAGAGCACCGGAGGTTTGGCTTGGTAGCCTTGCCACCTATGCCTGCCGGCCTGCATTGATGGCAACCACCCCAGGGCTGAGGTGAGCGGACAATTCCTGCAGGAGCTAGGCATCGGGTTCTTAGCCGGTTGCGGCGCTGGATTAAACTGGACCCCGTTTTCTACTTGACGTTTGGCCAGTGAGTACATGCTTGGCCATTTGGGTTCGCAAGAACAGAGTTCACTCGCCTTAGGGGAATTCATGAGTGGATCGTTCATTTGGGTTGCAAACAATAGAATAAATTGGACGCGCACCCGAGCAGAAGGAACTTCCCCATTGTTTTCAGGGATCCTTCTTTCCGAGAAACCAAATCAAGCGGAAAACGTCTGGCGTTTTACGTTGAACAGAATGGGACCTAAATCCTAGATGTGATTCTAAACACAAACCTACTGTGGGGACCTAAAAACAGGCAACCGGGGGTTGAAAAAACAAGGCCCTCAGTTCAGAGGCATCTTCTTTTTGAAATCGAACCCTTGGTTTCCTTCGGTTAATCAGCGTGGAACATCAATCGGTCACTCCTGTTCAAAATTGCATGGTGGCCAATGTGAAGCCTCGCCGCATGTGTCCCCTTCACACATCCCTCTCACATATGTTTACAACCGCAAAAAGGGAAATATAGGGCCCGCTGTCAGGCTGGCAGTGATACGGCCAAAACACAGACCAACCACGACCGAAGCCTTCTTGTATCTTAAGCGCGAGATCATGGACTGCCTTTGAACAAACCTGGGTAGTCTGCAAGCACCGAATCATCGGCCTAGAATTTATTGCCCCCCAAACAAAAAAACAATGCAAAACAAACAAAGAACGCACATGACATTACACAACTTTGTCCCCCCACTATGTCAGCGGCCATCCAAACATGTTGGAGTACCCATGTTTAGTGAACCGTTTGTGAAACCTCCAAAAGATGCCAACTGAGGCCTTCCAAGTCGACACCGGCAGATTGGGTATTGCCAACTGGTCGAAAAGCCTTGCATGTGCGATTTGCCTCCAGCTGAAGAGGCCGAGCGCCTGATTCGGGCAAAGCAGTGTCCGAAGTCCGCTTGCGTTTAGCTCTTCGTCTCATGTACTTTGAAACTAAGCAATGTCATAGTTGATGCTGTTCAATACAACCAGCTGAGAAGCTTGATCATAAGAGCAACATGTCAAAACATACTCAGACCCTCATACAGAGCCCCCATTGCAATTATATGCACATATATATAAGCACATAAGCTAAAACTGCAGAACAAGCTTGAGAAACGAACCTGGACTTGCACAACGAGTTTGTAGGTTCACGAGTTGCAGCCTCTCAGAAGGAAGCAAGTTGGAACCTGGCCGTTCAACTCAGAATTGCACATCTGCAAGCCCATGGCCAAACTAAACCTCCTCCCAACATCACGCGAACATGAGAAGTGCACAAGTTCATGGAATCCAACACACTGGGTTCCCTATATTTTTCGTTCTTAAGCATCAGATCATCATGTTCAAGGGAAGCTCACCGAATTGGTCCCAAAAAAAAGGATGATTTCCGACTCACGCTCGCGTCTGGAGGCCAAGTGCCTGGATGCCCCCGGTAGTTGGCAAAGGAGCTGCCCAGCAAGAGAGCACCTAAGCCGGGCTCAAGCCGTTGCCCAGCATACGTTCCTTGGTTGCTTTCTGGTCCCCTCCTAAAAGCTTAACTTTATGTGGTTTGATGGAAAACCCATTAGTTGGGGAGAAAACAAAACAGTTCTAACATCCAAGCAAAATCCATCAAAGGTTCCGGGTCGGTGGGGCTGGTTGCTTTGGTTTCTGCGCTGTTTGGCTGCGTTTGGTATTGGTTGGCTGTCTGGGGAGTGTTTGGGTATTGGTTCAAGCCACAGTTGGTTGGGTATTCATACGGTATTGATTGGCGGAGTTGTGGTTCCTGCGCAAGGTCGTACTGATTAGCTCTGCAAAACCCGACATGGTTGCGTGACATGGCCGCACCTGTTGGCCCCATTTGTTGTTGTCGTTTCCGTTTAGAACCAGCAAACAGTTGACTTCTTGGAAGGGGGGGTAGGTTGTGTCTGGCAATGGCTAATCGAAGATAAATCGGGCTTCACCAGCCTCTTGCTAGTTGAAGGGGAAGGGAACTAAACGACTTTTAGCCATAAATTCGGGCCGGAACTCTAACCGATCCATCTTACAAGTAATCTTGCCAAAAGAGTGGCTCGGAATGACGAAGTTGCATATGATCGCAACCAGCATGAATTCACAAGGAGCCCTCAAAACAACTTGGTGGACAGAAACTCCTGTGCGAATGAGGTTCACACAATGGTCCCTAGTCAACTTTCATAACCATAGTGTTGACCCAGCATGAACAAACACTCCCAAACCCTGTTCCATAGGACTCTTCTTATCCCCAAACACTTTCCCCCCTACACACACCATCCGACTTATGTCAGGGTTTTGTCAGGTTTTGGCTTTAGTCATAGACTAGAGCTTGCCAACACGCCCAAAAGGGTATGGATAACTAAAGCACCTGCATTCCACTGCTGGTCAGCTTGGCAGTGTTTTGAAACGTGGGTGTGTTCTTCAAGTTTTCTTAAAAGGCTGATCTGGGACCAAAGAAGGCGCCTGCGGGAGATTAGCAATATGCAACTGAGAGTCAACTCATTTGGCACGGGAATGTTCCTCAGCCTCCCTTTCCGACGGCGAGGAACCAATGGCATGGGACCACGTGTGGATGCCTTCGCTGGGGGAGAGCCTAAGCCTGGACGTGCAGATCGCAGGCTGTTCGGTACCTATTTGGGCCTGTTTTTAGGGGTAGCCAAAGGGAGAACTTCATGTTTTTTTGGGGCGTTCCCTTAAGACACATGCAGGAATCCATGCAGCAAAAGTTCTTTTGGGTGCTGCGCGCAGTGGTTTGTTGCTGTGCGCGCGTACGGGGCTTGAAAGGCTCTCGACAATTGCCTCTGGTCCAGGTCTATTGTGGGAAATCAGGTCAGCTTGATCTTGCATTGTTCAAAGCACTCCTGGTCAAGTAACAGTCACAAGAGCTAAGGGCGAACCCCCAAAGCAGCATCCGCACAAGCACACCTTCTTTAGAAAGACACTGTAGGAAGGCCGTTGGTGGAGCATTCGACTCCTATCTTCGGGTTGCAAATCAAGCTAGCTGAACACAACATGTATGGCCGGGACTGTCCCTACTAACCTTTAATCATCTAGATTGCAGGGTCGAGTTCGGCCTTGTTACAACATTTCTTGACTCACCTTTGCCAAGCACTCAGCAGGGTTGCAGAACAAATTAAACATACGTAGAATTCTAGGATCATCCTTTTAGCAACCATGTTTGGGGAAGTCTGGCATACCTCCAAAAGGAGTCCAGCATGTTTCTCTTTTAAGGGAGAGCACTAAGTAGAAATGGCAAACAATATTCTGGGCTGCTTTTTGACCACGCGCAAAAGCTATGAATGCTAGGCGGGTGGCTTCAAACATGGCCGACCTGAACCGACCTCAACATTTAACCCCTATTTAAAACCGTCCTTTGAATTCTGGTAGGCATGCTCAGCAAACAGCACCATATAGAATAATGTCAAAGGGACAACAAGCTAGAAAGATTTGGGGACAATTTTTATCAAACAAGGAACATCTTCTGACATATGAGCCACGGTCGAATTGCTGGTCTTCGCTAAGTGAGTCCCACGCCTTGGGAAATTTAGTGAGTCCACATGTCCCTCCCAAATGGACCGTAGACTACCGGAAAAGTTTGAGCGAACCTGGCTTAAAATGAGACCCCGGATAAACTCAAACCCCGGCAATCCGGGAAGCTCAAGATTCAACGAGCTCCAAGGAAGAGTCTATATTCAAATCTGATCTGTCCTTGACAACCCGCAAAATGAGGGCCCACAAGCAACCAGGCAGGAAGTCTGCGGTCTTAGGGCTACCTCTTTGCTCACCGCCCACAGAAACGTCCAATGAACCGAGCCACCTGAGTCACCAGAGCTTGAAGATGGCTCCTGAAAGCGGGCAACTTCTCGGTCCATTTTAGTAGCCTCAAAATTATCCGAAAGTGGAGGTCTAAAGCAAAACGACCCCAAAGTAATGGTGACCCAATTAGGGACTTATCACAAGTGTAAATGGGTGATCAGCCTACTTTCTACAGGAAGCCTTTTTGAGGTTGCTTCTGTAAATTTGCGAGTCCAAACCCGACCCAGACCGCCAGCAGCCATGGGCAAAGAACGGAATTGGTCTGGGAAAAATGAAGGTCAATGTGTTCGAGGTTGAGGCCCCTATCTTTCTCGTCAAAAATCACCTCAAAAGAGGCTAGATGCGATGGCCGGCTTCGACACGTGACACGTGTCAACAGGGCTCCCCATGTCCAACCAATAAAAATCACTCCAAGCGCTTGACATGGGCAACATAATGTCAGGTCAAACTCCGGGGAGCGAAGAGGGTACATCAAAAGAGGCGGTTCCCCAAGGTTGAACCGAGATTCTTTTCTAGTTGTGCCTGCCAGAACCCCACTGGACTGAGTTTCTGGCATGCTTTAAAGCACCAATCATATCATTGAAGTACAGGCAACACCGCAACCGACGCATACCTCATGAGTCAAATATGTGCCAGTGCGCTGAAAGCCATCGTGTGGCTGCGGGCTTACCTTCCAGCAACCTCAATATTGGCCGCAGGTGGTTGAAGCTGTTGTGGGCTCCCAGTGCCCTGTGCACTGCGTGCACAAAAAGGTCTCGCTCTTGCGAGTCTCTTTTGTGAACAAGCAGTATAAATATTCAGTTTTTTTTTGGCTGAATTGCTGCCAACATAGTTCTGCTCCTGAATAGAATCTTCGCTGATGTTTTGGCAAGAAACCAAACGCCCCCGAAAACCCCCCACCCCGCAGGAAAGTCTGGAAGAAACCTTCTTCAGGGGCTGGGTCTTGCTGTCCACTGCGGTCCTTGTCTCTGATAGGAGTCGAACTTTGTTCGCCCTGATCTCGGTTCAAGGGCATGGAATACCAATAATGGTCACATGGGCATTGGTATCTTTGCATGGGTCGTACTCCACATACACCTTTGCTCTGAATCCAGATAAGAAGACTGACTCTGTCAGACCAGCCGGGAGAATCCCTATTTCGAATTTTCTGGAGGTTTGTCCATGTCTCATCGGTGATTCTGATCGAAGGTCTCTGATCGAGCCCTCCTTCGCGGGGGGGGGGGGGGAAGGAGTGCATCCCCTGAAACTAACTTCAATTCACCTCATAATTATGATCCACGATGCAGGCCCCTCCATGCCAGCATACTTCCGCAGTTCCATTTTCCCATGAGCCTTCGGTAAAAAGGAACAAAGTCAGGAAGCAACCTGTGCGTGCAGCCGGGCGAAGTCCTGGCTGACAGAAAAAACGGTGCTTTCCACACATCATGATGTAATGTGGAGGTGGGGCGGCGGTGGCCGCCGAAGGCATGCTTTGAGCCATGCCATCGGCATTCGACAGCCTTCCACTAGATCATTCACGCACTAAAGTACAATCATGATCCACGATGCAGGCCCCTCCATGCCAGCATACTTCCGCAGTTCCATTTTCCCATGAGCCTTCGGTAAAAAGGAACAAAGTCAGGAAGCAACCTGTGCGTGCAGCCGGGCGAAGTCCTGGCTGACAGAAAAAACGGTGCTTTCCACACATCATGATGTAATCCCACACCCGACCCATGGAGTATTCTGGACCAAGCGCGAGATGCGTCTGGGCCATCAAAGTGAAGAAAACCGTCCTTTCTAGCCCAGAACACGCTTCAAGCTTGTCAGCTTGGCCCGCCAGGACTGCAGTAACCATCGCCTCTAGCATTGGCGGAGATGCCTCTGCTCGCTTCTTCGTAGCTGGCGGCAGCTTCTCAAGTAGCTGGGCCATCTTCGCGTGGCTTTCGTACCTTTTCAGGGAAGCATCGGATGCCCACCGGCCCCGAAGCTTAATTTCCAGCAGCGACCTCAGTTTCTTGAATCTGTCCCAGGAAGCCCCTGAGTGCCGAAGCTGATAAATCACTGCAAGGTCCGGACTGAGCCCTAAAATCACTAACGACTGCGTCCACGCTTTCAGCACGTCTGCGTAGCTGCACGCAAACAGGGGCTGGAGCGGGCCGCCCGTCTTGAAGTGTTGCAGAGCCGGTCCGAGATATCTGAGAAAAGGGGTGTCCAGCAAAATTGACTCGTCCGAGACGCCCGTCTTGGACATGCTCATGGACTCTGAATTGTTCAGGTTGATCGCCCACGACATGCCTAAGTGGCGAGACTGCGCTAGGTCCTGATTTTTTGTTGCTAGCAACTCGGAAGGGCGAGCGTAGGTGGAAAACATTGTGAGAATGAAAACAGCTTCCACGTGCTGCTGCAGACCCCACATTGTCATTGCTATCAGGCTGACAAGTCGCCAGGCCAGCGGGGTGCGGGCCTGGCCCGGGTCCACATTTTTCCAACCTTTCAAAGCTCTTTTTGCTCGAGTGAGCCCTGTCTTTCCCACCACCGGAAAAGCCTCCAGCACTGCCGCGAAAAACTTCATGGCCTCCGAGATGTCTAAACCATCTTGGAAGCACTGGTTCAGAAGTTCTGTCAACGCAAGGTCGACCTGAGAGGCGGTGTCGCCCGAAGCCCCCGTAGCCTGCAGAAGCCTTGAAACACCACGACCCGGCGGCGGTAGTCTGTTGCGGTCTTTGGCGAGACTGACAAAATCTCCAGCTGCGTCTGGCCGGTGAACCGAGGCAGGCGGCATGGGCGCCTCCAGTTGCAAGGAAGCGCGTTTCTTCTGGCGCTCCCCCGCGGTCCTTGCCTGAACATTCTGTCGGATCTCGCCCATGCTCATGGAGTGCAAGGGCACGGACTCCCGGGCCGCAGCATCCTTGAGCGCCTGCACTACCGACACTGTCTCGGAAGTGCTGCTGGATTGCCTGCTTCTTTTCTCTGGTGCTGGGGTAGAGGATCTGGTCGAGGGCCTTTTTCTTGCTCCTCTTGCTGGGGCCAGCGTCAGTGGCTTGGCTTTCCCACTGCCGCGATGGGCCATCGGCTGCATTCCATTCAGATGGCACCCAACGGTGGTGAACAATGCTATTGGTCGCCACACTGTAAGCGGCTGCTTTCCGGCAACAGAAAAGGAGCTGCGGAGATTTTGCCCTACCTCTGTCAAAAGCCAAGACCATGCCTAAATTGTCACCAAGATGCACATGCCTTTGGTTGAAATGCTTTACGGAGCGAGCCTTATGCCTGATTGCTTGCACTGTAGCCCTGCCTTCCAGCAGTGTAATATGCTCTTTGAAAATCATACGGGATGCAAATTGCAACTTCCACTGGCTTGCCCGCGCAGTATGTTCAGGAACGTTCTCAAACTCAGAGTTGAGCTGAAAAGGATCCTCAAAGATTCTTTTTGGCAGCACGGTCTCGACATCCCGAAAAGGGTCCAAGGACTGCACAAGCTCACGCGCTTTCACAGCTGGCAAAGAACTTCTGTATCTCCAAAGCTCACGCCCCTGCCCGATAGCTTGCGCAATAGAAGGGTCAATCTGCATTGCACACGTAGCAGTTCCAGTTAAACAAGCATCGGACACTGAAATTTGATCGCTCCACGGCTTTGCCATGTCAGACTCGCACACCAAAAGCAAATTTGCTGCCCATCTGCACTCATCAGCAGCGGTCCTCCACAGGCGCTTTTTTGCGCAGTAATGTGCAGATTTGAAGTCATACACTGAACGAAAAACTGACAGAAACTCCCGCCGCAGCATGAAAAAATGTACGCAATGGCCGACAATACGCTCAATAACCCGGCCTGACACCGTCGGTCGTGCAGACAGCCACTTGAGAGCCAAAATCACCTTGTCGCGTTTTTCAGGCACAGGGGTGACTCGGCACCGCTTGCCATCAATCATGAAACCGAGAGCCTTGGCACGTGTGGACGCGTCCTCCTTTTCGTGGACACGGAAGCCGACCTGACGGAGGCGGGCCACAGCCTTGTCTTTGATTTCTTGCACAGCGTGCTGATTTGTTCCCAGCACATTCAAGTTGTCAGCGTATGGGACAATGATAGGCTGACCACTGCTCAAGCTCGGAGCTGGCCTGCCGTCGACCAGGATCTGGTCGGCCCCAACGCCCGCGCCGAGTATGACCTGGTGCTGATGAATACGCTGCGCAAAAAACATCGCCCAAGACCAGCCCATGGGTACCACTGTCATCTGCGGGAAGACCAACTGCGAGGGGTCCGCGTCTGCGAGCTCTGGGATGCTCTTTGAAAGGGCCCCCGGCTTAATTGGTAGCAAACTGAAATATGGGTGCAAATACGACGGCAATCCAATGGAATAGAAGTAATCCTTGATATCGGACTGAGCAACGTACACTTGCTCACCCTCGTTGACAGTGAGCTGCCCGAAAGAGTATCCTGCAGCCATCGCACTGTCGGGAGGGGGCTTGAAAAAAGTGTTTGCAAGTCTACAATCCAACACCATACGGAGCCGTCCTTGGCCACGAAAAAGGGCGTGATGGTGGCCTTGCTGACTTTGCCAAATGTGAGCATCCCTCTACCCCAGAGGTCCAGCACAAAATCATGATACGCAGTGGAACTTGAACGGAGCACCTCATCCATATAAGGTTTAACCTTGCTAGGAGGGATCTCATCGTCTCTGAACAAACGCCCATAAGGATCCAGCAAAAAGCCCTGGCCCGTCTCATCCAGCAGCTCCCGGGCGTCAAACACCTGGGCCCCGCCGGCCGGAAGGGACACAAGACCCTTGCTGTAAGATCGCACTGTGCTTCGAGCCTCCTCCTCCGTCACATAAGGGGAGAGGCCAAGATGCAGAAGCTCATGAACGGCCTCACGCAACTGTACATGAGTAGCTGATTTGGGAGATCGAGCTACTTGACACAAAAGCTGATGTTGAGCACACTTCTGCGCCTTCGAAGGCTTTGCCGGCGGCGCCGCACCATGCCCGGCCATCTCATTGAGGGTTCCAATGACATCATTGGCTCTGAGGACATTGTTGGCTCTTTTGATTGCCCTGCGCTTAGCGCCCACCGACAGCTCCTCGCTGCCCGCAGAAATGCTCGAGGTCGAAATGGAAGGAAGTGGGAAAAGGTCCCTCCAGCGACCGTCTGACATCTTGCGTTGGGGACAAAAAGGCGGGCCTTGCCTGCCCATCCCCTCGTCAAAACTGGGACCCCTTGTTTTCTCATCCCATGCACTGCGGGGGTCCGCGCAGTGCACAGCAGAAGAGCTCATGGATCATCGGCAGGGGCATTCTTGCCTCGGCCTCGGCCTCGGGCTTTGCCCCCGCCGTGCTGGTTGCGGTATGAAAGCTCTTCCTTCGCCTTCCGGGATTCCTTTGCAATTGCAGCCTGATCACGCAATTGCTCCGACACATGCTTGGTGAGAGATTGAACAACCCCGCTGTCCAACTCCCATCCCATGAAATGGTCAGAAGCCGAGTAGTCTGGCTGCGTGGGGCAGATCCTGTGCGCTTCTTTGATGAGTTGCCATCTGCGAAGCAACAACTCTCCTCCTTTCAAATTTGGCAGGTTGACTTGGTCAGCCATGACAAAGGCCTCGATGACACGTGCTAACACTTCCATTTCATAAATGGATCGGTCGGATTTGGAAATTTCGCTGCTGCGGATCCATCTCTCATGATCAGTCACAGGAGTCAGGCTGCGGCTGGCCAGCGACTTCAGGAGGGTGGACCTTCAAGTTGCAGCCCTCCGCCTGGCATCTTGTCCTGGGTCATGCTGGTCACGGCATCCAAAAAATCTCTCCGGCGGACACCAGCAGAGTCGAACTTGACGGGCAGGACTCGCAAATCACGGGCGGCAAAGCCTCCCAAATCCGCCAGCTTAATCTTCTTGACTGCCACAGCTGAAGACCCATTTGGTAACAAGGCCTTGTCTGTGCCCAGAACCACGTGGTCAGGGGGCAGCGGTTGACCGGCTTGCACCACTACTTGACCTGCCAGATACGGCGGCTCATTCTCTATGCTGACCCATACCTCAGGCTCACTGGGGACCGCGTTGGCCAGTCTACCCTGCCCTTGAACAGGCGGGTCTGGCACAGCCGGGAGCCCCATAGAAACTCTGATGGCAGCAGCGTAGATCCTTGCCTGAGCCATCAGCTGCTGATACTCCGCGGCCGACATCACCCCGAATCCGTACACATGAGCAGGGTTAATTCCAGGGGGAATGCCACCGGCAAGCCCTCCGCCACCATAAGTGAAGTCCACGAAGTCTCCATTTCCGGGCGACATCTCCTCCTCGTAAATGTCGCGGTCAGGGGTGATAATCGCCCACAGATTCTGGGAAATATGGCACCCCAGCAGTCTGACATGCACCGTGTGCGGCACTTCGCCGTAGTTGACGAAGCAAACGTCACCGCCTGACATCTGCGCCATCTCGAATCTGCAGAGGAGCCCCTCCGCGCCGGCCCTTGCCCTTGGCGTAAGCCGGAGCTTGGATCTGAGCCTGCACCGTCTGAGTGACCCACCAAGCCAAGAGGATCACCACGAAGGTCAGCACTAAAAAGAAGACCTCCTTGAGTCCAAACCACGCCCCCTCTGACACCCGGGCAGGTGACGGGGATGCCACTCGCACGAGCAGGGGCGAGACTCCGGCAGAGCCAGTTTTCGATCAGGAGACCACACCAGCCCCACCGCAATGCCAGCCACAAAAACGCCGGGGATCACCAAGACATCCATAAGGCGTGGAACGAACCCGCCGAAGGCATGCTTTGAGCCATGCCATCGGCATTCGGCAGCCTTCCACTAGATCATTCACGCACTAAAGTACAAACATAAAGGTATCCCTAATAACAAAAAGGCTTTTCAAGAATCCCTAAATAGTAGAATAGAACTGATCAATAGTAAACCAATTCTAAGCAAGCATCTCCTGCTGGCTGCAAGAAATGTCTGATTTGTCGCTCACAGATGTGAGGGAGCCTATCTAGGGACGGGCCGAAGGGAAGAGGAAGGAACCGGGGGCCGTAACAAAAACAACAACTAATCCCAGGTTTTTGTATTTACGCAGGGGGGGTTCCCCCCCGCTCCTTTTTGTTAGGGGTAGGGATTGCCCAGTCATGTTTCCATCAGACGACAAAGGCCCAACAGACACTGACACCCCAGGTTGTAGAACCTTCCACAAAAAATGCCAAAAACAGGTTGTCAAGATATGCCCTCAGAAGGAACGCCTCTCGAAGGGGATACCAGGCCCAACCTTGACGATAACCCAACGGTTTCGGCGAATTCACGAATTCGCGCCTCGGTCTCCAGCCATGAAATCACCTGGGAGGCGTGGTTTGGAAAACCTCAATGGAAGCCAAAACAAGATCTTTACGGCATGGATCATGATCTTCGATTTCTGGTCCTGTTCGTTTTTTTGTGCTTTTTTTTCTCGGCAAGTTGGTATCCTGCTAACCCGCATGATGGAAACCCATCCCAAGCAAAAGCCATCATTCAAAGCCCCCGAGCATCGGAACCATGCTTTTGTGTCACGACTCAGTGCCCATTGAACGCACTGGTTCACTCCGTCCCAATCGGTCGATCCCCACCAACTGCAAACTGTGAGGTTTCATTTGCCTTCGGAGTTGAGTGTGCTCTTACCAAAGGCAACGATCGATTCACTTCCTGAGTGGACTGGCCAAATAAGTCTAAGCATTATGGTTGCCACCTAAAGCGCGACTTCCCCCAAAAATGTACAGTCCAGAAACTTGGGAAGAGAGCCCAAAGATGACACGGGCCATTGGTGTGGCCCCTGGCCATTTGTGGACCGTGTGGCTACCGCCATGCGGACTAACTCGTATGTAGAAGGTAGCTATGCAAAGATATTGAAGGAATCTAAGCGGCACAACCGAGGCATGGAGAGAAATATAATGAGGTAGCAGACAAAAAGATACAATATGCTGGGTGATGGGTGAGCTAGAATGGGGAATGTCAAACAGGAAAGTCTCACAATGGGTAAGGTGAACCATGCGGCCGCCATACATTTCAAAGATTACAGCGTTTTGCTTGGATGGCCTAGGTGTTTGCTAGACAGCTACCCTATTTGAGCAGCGCCCAAGACCCGTTGACTTTAGGTTCTACCAACATGGCCGCAGCCAGGAAGTGGAACTTTCCGCGGCGCTCAGTTACAATCATTTCAACAAGGCGCCGGCTTGGAGGCAAATCAATGGCAAAGCTACCATTCGGCGTCCCGGAGATGAGTGTCACTACGAAAGGGAAACAGGAACCTGAACATATGCCTTCCCTTCAGGTTGGGTCTTTGTTCGAAGACTTGAAGAACCCCTGCTAAAAAAGAGAAGCCCAAGTCAAGCCCTGCCAGGCCCCTTGTAAGGTTGCTACAGTACTTACTACAGGCTTTAGGCAAATGGGGATAACGTGCAGCTGATGAATAAAAAGGAGGGTCCCAAATTTAGAGGTCATCCGTCAGTTTTTCGGGGACACCGCCTTGTTATCCGAAGAGTTCCGGGTTAAAGTCTTCATCTTCCGGCCTCCGCCTCGAAGAAGCTCCCGTGGGGCCAAGACACCTGACCCGAAAGTAGCCAACACTCTTAATTGACAGCGGGCTCCAAAGATGACTTCCCTAGGGTAAGCTCACATGTCCAAAGGGACCAGAAATCAAAGGTTAACCTTTGGGGGCCATGACTAAATATGAAGCAGGCTTCACATGAAGCGACGAGGGGAAACCAAAGGTCATTTCAGGTCGATTCGCTTTGGGCAAGTGAGTGGTCGACTTCCAAGAACGGAACATTCGCAAAGAGCTCGTTTTACTTCCAAGCTCGCCACCAAGACACCCAATGGATATAAGCAAAAGGCACTTGTTGTTCTATTGATCCTCACCCCCCGAACAATAAAGGTCCCGTCCCCCTCATCGTAAAACATGTGTTTCAGAATTCCATTGTCCCCAATACACAATTAGAAGACAGGCCTCTTCTCCAGTCGTACAAGGCGACCCTCTGCCCTCAACCAGCACGCATAGTGTTGAAATCTGGTGCAGGGGACCAGTAATGTCAACCTAAGTTTTATAATTGGGCCCGCATGAATAACATTCTGCGCCATCGGACCCGCTTTTTCACCGAATACTAAATTAAGAAGAGACTATTTCAAAAGTTCATCGCACACATACAACACCGCCCCCCACCCCCCCCCAATCCCTCCAAAGCACAACATTAATAAACCACCCAAACAAAAGCACATTAATAAAATTCCCCGAAACGCGGGCGCGAGCCAAACAAGCTTTTGTTGTAACAGAGACCAAACCAGTCCAAAATGATTCAAAAGTAAGCAGGTAGCGTGCAGAAGTTGATGGCACAGAGACACATGCAACAAGTGCGCAGCGCACCAAGCAAGGTAAATATATATCTGGAACCTTCAGAGCCTCCCCAGCAGACCTCAAATCTCCTAAAAGCATACATGCCCGGGGAAGTGTGGCTTTTAAATGAAATATCTTTACAAAAGTGATGCCCCAACAGTCCAGCGTGAGGTACCCCACACAAGCTCCCAAACCCGCATCAGTAAAAGGGCTCACATTAATAAACACCCCAAAGCGACCCCTAGGAAGAACTAGGTATTGGTTAAGGGGGGGAAGTACGCTTCGGGTCTAGGTGGAGCTCTTCTTGGCTTCAGGAATCCTGGAGTGTCAAGGAAAGAGTTGGGCACCCAAACAGGCGAAACATAAGGATCTTTGCATTTTTCCCTTCTTAGCCTAAAAGGTGATGCAAAAAGCACCACAATTGGAGAAATGGAGTCGGCGCCTTGCACAATCCCACCAGAACAGCCAAGCTCTTCCCTTGCCTCGAGCTCTTGGAAGTTGATCTGCTCAAGCGCCCCGCTCAAGCTAAGTTTTGCCTACACCGTCGGGTGCCAGCTCCCCAGCCCTTTCGGGAAAAAAAGACATGCGGGCTCATGTGGTTCTCTTCTAGCGGAGCATGTATGCAGAACTTGGATCTTTCTTTCTTTTTTTTTGGGGGGGGGGAAACGGGGCCCCACTTCCATACATGACACGAATGCACAAGGTTGACTTGTTCAAGAATGGGGGCATCTCTAAGCTCAACGTACTCCGTGCTACGAATCCGCTGTGGGACACCACTACAACAAGAGAACCTGCTATCATTTGGCATAAGGGATATGAGACACGGTCGAAATTACTTATACGGCCGTTTCGCTACATAGTTTGAGAGTCCCCTCTCGTTTTCCAGCGCTTCCATAATTTTCCAGAAATATTGTTTTTTGAGAGTCCCCTTTCGTTTGCCATGGTTTTGTGCATTTTCACAATATCAATGAAACACCGAATGCTAAACTCAACATAAGTATTTTGACGGTACTTCATAATATGTTGAACAACCCAAACTGCCCGTCCTGAGGCTTGGTACGAGCATGTAGGACCGGGTTCTTCTTTTTGGGTCTCAACCAAAACCTGTTTGGGGGGGGGGGGGAATTGCATCGGTATCCGTCGCTCCTACAACTCAACTGGGGATTGATGAATCGCGGGTCACCATTGATTCACCTAACGCCAACCTGACTATTCCAAGCTGGCTCATGTGCAATGAATGCCCTGCCACTGGACCGGCGTCACATCGGCATTGCATTTGCGGTCCATGCAGCTTAGACTTAAGGACCAATGACTTGGGACACCCTAGCAGCTCCATCCAGTGCCCCTCGCGTCTCAAAAATCTGAGCGAAGGTGCATGAAAACGACCCTGCGCGACAAGAAAGTTGAAGCTAACGCGGACTGCATTTACTGCGGCTATCGCAAAGCCTAGCTAGCGGCAGCAACCCATGCCAAATCAATCCATTGAGAAGCCCACAACCTCCTTGCTGGGCTTACACTTCGAAAGTTTAGGCTTTGTCAGCTGGAGCATGTAGGCTTGCAAGGGGCAAGAAAACGGATTCTATCTTCGAATGGATGCTTGTGGCTGACAGAGTTCCACCCTCCTTCAAGTCCCAGCCCTTTTCTCCCCGGTTACGCCTCCACCTCGCAGCGGGGTGCTGGCCTAAGGACAAAGCCATGCAAAAAGAAGAGTTGTGTGTGGCTTGCAGAATCTATCGACACCCTTGAGTACCGTGCCGCAAGCAGCGTGTCTTTTTTGAGTTGGCAGTGCTGTAGACTTCCCAAGGGGTCTGTGCAGATCCAGGTTGCTGTTACCTCGTAACACGGGAGCTCCAACCAACGGAACCAAGTCTTCCAAAGGGTCTTGGGGCCTTCCATGGAATCGCCTGCAGGAGGGTTATATCATACAGCCGCGCAACACGACGGCAATGCCCGTCTGTCTGCGCCTGCCATCCTCTATCTATATGTGGGCTTGTCTTTTTCAAGCAACCCTCCAAATAGTGGTTTTCCCGATGGTTTCCCTTTACAACCTACCAAGAACGGGTGCCCGAAAACAAGAGACCCATGTCTCCGTCTGTGTCCATGTCTGTAGCTGTGTTTGTGTCTCTCTCTGCCTACCTTTCCTCTCTGCCCACGGATCTGCCAACCTCTCTCCGTCCCTGCTTCTGTCTCCATGGACGTCTCCATCTCTACCCACCAGTGCCTTAGTCTGTGTCTGCCGGTCTCCCTGTCTCGCCGTCGGCTTTGAGCACCCGCTACCGGGCACTTTGAGCCACACCGTACACCATCATTGTGACCTGTTCGTGGCGACTCTTGCTGCCTCCTGTTAAGTTTGCATACCTCTGTCGTCGTTCAAGGGCTTGTTTGAAGGAACAACCCCTGTCAAGCGACTGTTGGTACTGGTATGTTTGAATAGATAGATCCGCTGCAAGGGAGCAGCAGTTGCAGCGATGAATTTTAACATCCTACTTTTTGGAGGAAACTGGCTGGTAAAAAAACCTGGTACTTTTGGTGCTTGCTTGCTGTTTGCTGTTTTTGGGCTGTGATGTGTCGAGTTGCAGTTGTGAGCGGGGAGGGGGGGGTGGCTGGGGGTGGGGGGTGGCCATGAGGGGGGGGGAGGATGTTACTGTCGTTATGAAAGGTTTGCACGCAAACGAACACACATGCCAGTGCACGCAGGTTGATGCATGGCCAATGAGCCAATGTTGGTTGCAAATGCTGGCAAAAGGCATCTGGAGAGCACCAATGTCCATCCCAGCAAACATGAGTTTGCCAGAAGAGTCTCTGTGACGAGAGCACGCAAACGAGCCGCTTGCTTCAATGTATGGACATAGAGGGTGGCAATCATTGCAAGACTATATCACAACCCAGCTTCACTCTAATGTGTTTCGCTACATGCATGGCTAGTTTGGAGGCATCGTCTTCCCATTGAGCAGGATTTCAGCCGTGATCGTTGGCTGCAGCTTGTTGGTTCAGACTTTCGGGCAACTGAACTGCAACTATGCCCGACTATGCCAAAAAACATCAGGTTTTTTGACCATTTATGCATGAAAACTGTGCTGTCATAATTCTCCCGTTCACTGCCAAGCATGAGCCAGAGCTGACAAATTGCAGAACAACCGAAGGAAAAACGTGTGACATGGCTTTCGCCTCCAGGTTTTGAACAGTCTGTGACCTTTTTGGAAGACACTGAAAGTCATCCAGGCGTGTGTGTGTGTGTGTCGTTGTGTGTGTGTCTGTATATATATATATATATAAGTATGTGTATATATATATATATATATGTACATCCCTTTTGCACACACCCAAAGCGCCTGCTCATGCTTAAACTCCCCGCTTGCCGAGTATATAGCCCCGTAGGAGTGGGCAGGTAACGAGGGAACGCAGGGATATGAACAGGTGATGCATATGTCACGTTTTAGTTTTAGCATCAAACGAATTGGAAATCCCCTTTAATAAAGTGGCGTAACAGGTGTGCTTGAAACTTCAGGGGACACATGTGTGTGTGTGTGTCTAAAATGGTGTGAAAAAGACGTGTCCCTTTCAACCCGAGAAACGGACCCAGATAGACACGGGGCACCCTGTTACCCTGGCTCGTCTCAGTTGAGTCGCGTGAGGCGTCGCTCTTTGCCGGGGTGTTGCTGAAAGTCGATCCTTGCGGATCAGATGGAACCCCTGAAAGGGGCTTCTTCGGGTTGCTGAGGGTTGGGCTGGCAAACCCCTGGCTGAAGAGTCACTGATTGCAGCACAAGAATCTGACATTCTGGCGGGCTGGGCTTCTCTGACTTGGGCCCGCAACGAATCATGCATACCTCCAAAACCCATCCAACAATGCCCTTGATCCATGGACATGGATAAATGAGAGAGCCTGCTGGGTTTGCAGAAAAAGTAGTGAGCCGCCAGGTCCCGCCCAAATGGACTATAGACGGCTTAGCAATTATGACTGAACCTCACGTGTGAAATCGGCGGGCTCTGCTAGGAGGCTCCAAGTTGAGTCAAAACTCACGCCTAGCATCTTGGCCAGCCTTAGCTCCATACAAAATGCTTGTCTTGGTGAGAAGAGAACAAAAGGAAACCCAAACGGCAAAAGGGCAAACAATGTTGAGTTGACGCTGGCAACGGTATTCGAGGACTCTACCCTCCTACCAAACATGGCTTTGAGCACAGCAAACGGTGGGCCTGTGCACTTCTATGTTTGTTTCTGGGAGGGCAATTGCCCAGACAAAGCAACGCTGGGTGCAAGTCCTCGTGAAAGCAAGCAAACAATAATACTAACAGTGATTCCGGAAGATTAACCCCGCGAGTCGGTCGGATTCCACCTGCTTGTGTTGTATGGTGAGCAACAATCAGATTTGTTAATCACAATGACCTTCATTTGTCCTGGTTCAGGCTCCCTGTATTTCCCTACCAAGAGAAAGTCTTTGGGGCCAAAAAGGTCATGTTTAAAACCATACGGGACAAGTCTAGGGGAAATTAGGGACCGATCCCTGTCAAGTTGCGCGCCGACCGGTTGCCTGTCCTGTAAATGCCGAGCTCCCGCAACACCGCCATGCTTCCTGGAGCACTGCAAGCGATGAACAGCTCGTAAGGAAAGATCAGCTCGTTAGAATTTGCCCAGAGTGTGCTCGAACAAGCGTGCAACTGACATACTAGGTCCTATCGTTCTTTTTTTGGACCTGAGTGAAGCAACAAGGAGTAATGAATCGTCCGTGTTCTCATCGAGTCTTTTGCGGGAAGCATCCACCTGACCTACCAGGCGGCATTGCCGCTTCAGCAGAGTGGATGATATCACGCTGCATCTAACTGTGACAGGCATGTCATGTGGTGATCCCCTTGGCTTACAGCCTGCGTTTGCGCAGCTACCATGGCCACCTCAGGCAGATAAACCCGTTTCAGTGCCGGGAATGTTGCCAAATTAAAAGTGTGGGATCCATGTTCCGAAAAGGAACAACCTTGGAATTGACCAAAAGTGAGGATACCCCAGGATACCCCGCTTGAGACAGGTTGCACCTGCTTGATCAGTCGGGAGTGTATTGATCCAGGGCTGACGTAATTCAGCACCATCCGGCCCCTGCGACAGGCTCCTGTAAAGCACCAGGCAAACTGCAAGACGCGAGTGACATTGCGCAGCACCTCGCGTTGAGAGGCGAGCACGTAGTGGGACCCCTCGATGGGAATGACCAAACTCTGCGGGCCTCTCCAAGGACTGCCAGTCACTTTTCAATTCCGTGAGAGGAATCCAGTACTCGACTCCCAGGCTTGTAACATGGGTCCGTCTCTAAATGGGGAATCTCCAAAAGGAGTGGGTTTCATGTGCTTTCCCTAACCCCAAACAGGGTCAAAGAAAGACACACCCACAGTCGTGCAAGGCCTCAAACAGACAACGTACCGAGACCTCACCCCCCCCGGAGCTGAGAAACCGGGGTAAAGTATGGGCTGGCACGCTCTCCCTGATAAAAGGGGCTAACGAGTTAGAATTGGCTTCTGGAAACTACATACTTAGCACCAAATTGAAACGTGATCATAAGTGAATCGTAAGACAATATTGTGTGCAATCATCTGGCCTCTCGTGTTACTTGCAAAGTCCACACGACTTGTGCCAACTGTTTGGGGCGGTCATTCAAAGGTGCATTTCGATCATATCTTGCCGTCTTCTCCAGTCCAAGAGACTAGCGGGAGATGAATGCTCACATACGCTGCACGCAGAGAACAGGTGACCAACACTTATGGTTTCGTGAATCCTCTTTTTTGGAGCCACATTTGGATCTTTCCCAGGGACCCTGGGTGAATGGCGTAGCAAGAACACGCTTAATTTATGCTCCAAGTGGCTGTCAGAAATCACAGCGAGCTTGCAGTCCACGTTAGACGCGAGCCATCGCCATAGGCATTCGCAAACCGTACCCAACCAATCTGAGGAACGTGTGTGAGTCTCGTCTTAAGGATGTCCCGGAAGCTCTGCCCGGGTAAAATGATGAGGCCTGCTGGGGGTCTCAACTCAGCCATCCCCTTGGCCGCAAGCGCCGCAAATCATTCAAACCCTATATAAGGAGCCCGCTGGGAGTTGAAGAAAAAGGAGGCGGAGTAAAAACAGGTTGGGGTGAAAATGAGGAGCCCTACAAGTAAGCCAAACAGCGGGGAGCCTTCAGCTTGAGAAAATGTGTCGTCGTGCGTTCAAGTGCATGAGCGACTTTCAGAAAAGTCGCAGTTCACGCATGACATGGATAATTCGTGAGTGCCCCTGAAGAAACAGTGCTGAGAGATGGTTTCTCCTTGTTAAGTATTGCCTGCTTGCGCCGAGTTGCCAAATTGCAATGCTGCCAAGGTGAAAGCAGGCTGGGCAGGTCATGAGTAGGAGGAAAGTAAGAGATGCAACAATCGTCTTGAAGGGTTCCCACTGGACGATTTTTTAGAGATACAGCTGGCGAGGCATTTCGGATTTAGGGCAGCCAGGCTGCGAGACATGTGCAAACTCCCTTCCCCAGCGGTGGTGTGATCGCGGTCCTTCATTGTTTCCAGCGTTCTTGGCTGGCAACACCAAGCGTGGCGAGATACTCTACGAGTAGTCTGCCCTCGAGAGCCAGAAATGTCTCCAACTTGGGCCTTGCAACCCCCTCAAAGCGGAGAGCTACTCTGGGTGTAGCTCTCCCCTCCTATTTGTGCGTTCTTTCATGGGCCCAAGTCTGTCCTAAGATTGTGCTGGTTCCTGAAGAACTCAGTACGACACAGCAAGCAGGAGCGGAGAGCTACTCTCCACCTTCAGGGTTGCCACCAGGCCCAAGTTCGAGAGATTTCGGGTTCTTGAGGGCAGGGCTGAGAGGAGAGCTACTCGTAGAGTGTATCTCGCCGCGCTTTCTGTTGCCAGCCAAAAATCTCGCCGCTGGAAACAATGAAGGACCACGATCTCACCGCTGGGGAAGGGAGTTTGCACATGTCTCGCAGCCTGGCTGCCCTAAATCCGAAATGCCTCGCCGGCTGTATCTCTAAAAAATCGTCCAGTGGGAACCCTTCAAGACGATTGTTGCATCTCTTGCTTTCCTCCTACTCATGACCTGCCCAGCCTGCTTTCACCTTGGCAGCATTGCAATTTGGCAACCCGGCGCAAGCAAGCAATACTTAACAAGGAGAAATTGGAACGCAAGAGTGACGCACCCCTCCCACAGAACACCCATCTCTCAGCAACGTTTCCTCCTGGTGTTTGTGGGAAATTGATTGAGTCGTGCCACGTTCCTCCTGAAAGTGCCCAATTGACCATAGAAAAGTCAGGATCGTTTCACCGAACCTATGGCGGGGGCCCTAAACTAGCTACAGCAACAGCTGCATTCTGGAAAATGGGTTCCTTTCTGTAATGCTGCCACATGAATACTGGGATGAACCACCAACTGGTGCAATGTTGTCCATCCCCAGTCATGGATCATGCCCATGACTAGAACTTGTAAATGCTAAGGGATTCCCTTGCCGACCAGAAAGCTGCAACCTGAATGCTGATCTTCCGTGCCAAATGGCCACACATGTCATCTTCGTTGCTCCGACATCGGCACAAGGGTAGAACTTGGTTTCTGGTACAGGGAAGCCAAAGAAAGACACATGCCAATTTCCATCCAATGAGGCTTTGATCGTCTTGAGGCTAAAAAAACCTCGGTTGCTTGGGGGTTCCGTATCCCACTTGGGTGAAAAACTCAAACAGCAGGGAACCCTTCTGCACGCCTGCCAAGGAAGGCGTTCCGGCACGAAGTGCTTCGCATGTGGCCCAGCTATGCTTGGGCCTCCCATTTCAGGAGCCGAAGAAACTAAAGGTGCCTAAAGCCGCCCTCTCTCCTAAACCTGCCTGGAGAAATGATTTGAGGGGGATTCGGTTTGTCTGCCAGCAGTTTCATGAAGTTCTCATCCATCTAGGGGTTTGGAGGGTTCAATTTAGTCGCTATAAATGGAGATGAGAGGGGCCACCTAGAAGAGACACTTCAATACAATTCAAGTACCCAGACCACAAACAATGGAAACTTGCGGACACATGCAACAAACCAATGGTGCACGGGCGACTTATACAGAAAGTAGAGCAATAATGTGAGAATCTTGATAGTTTGTTTTCTGCAATTTACCCTGGCTTGCGATACTTAGGGGATCCAACGAAACACACTGGCAACATAGCTGGTCTGCAGGCGCACGAAAGCCGCAGATGGCTTTTTAGATAAGGTCTCCGGAAATCCCCTGTGGCAAATACCCAAAGAACACGTTGTGACCGTGCTTAAGTGAAACACGTGCCGAAATCCCAAGTTGCCCAGTGACCCTGGTACGAGGAAACCTTGTTCTTTTGGGAAGACACCGAAAGAAAAGGGAAGAAGTATGCCATAGTATGCCACTGGGGCAGAGTCAAAAGCTGTCCAAAAAGGTCACCTCGTTGCTTTGTGTCGAAGGACACCCCAAAAAACACGTGCGGCAGGCAGCTGGGATTGCTTCCATACAGATTTTTGTTCAGAACCTGCGTCGGTAACCTTCAAGGAATGAAGGGGACAGATGTATAGACTGTGAAGAAGAAATGCAGAAGACACCGAGGTCCCACATGCGATTTCCTGTCAGATGGCGAGATCTGGACTGACCCTCCTGATTCACACTGTCCCGACAATATGCGGACATGCAAACCCTGGTCAACCATGGATTTCCCTTCCTCCCTTGCAGTTTCAGGGATCAACCCTAGCGGCAAGGCGGCAGTAGCAATGGCCATGATAGCGTCAGCAGCATCATCATCATCATCATCATCATCATCATCATCATCATCATCATCATGAACATCATCATCAGCAGCAGCAATGGCACATGCTACTGTAGCGTCAGGTAACTAAAGTCAAACACAAACAGGAACACCTGCCGCGAACAAACAAAAACACGCTGTGGGAATCGCACACTTCTTTTGTATCACATGGCCTTCTGAATGCCTGGTTAATTTGTTTCACCTAAAGGGGAGATTCCCTTGCGCAACACAAGACTCATTCCCGCAAACCTGGACAGAAACCTGAGGCCCTGCTGATCGTTTGTTCTTACCACGCATGTATACCAACGCCTTACAATGTGGCCCGCCTTTGGGATGGTGTTTCAAAGAAAACCGACAGAAACGCACAAACTTGCAGGGGTCCTGCATTTTTGGAAGGAATGATTCATTCCCCTCGTTTCCTCTGTGAATTAGCCACAACGGGAACCCAGAAAATGAGCGCTTCTCCCGGAGCAGATTTCGCAAAATGGGTCCGAAATGGATCCAGCGGCGGCGTTCCGTGGATGAGAGCCGCACTTCTGCAGAGTTCACATGGGACGGTGGCAGTTTTCGTCTGTATCCGATCCATCAGCCACCCCCCCTGCCCTGCCGCCTGAGTCAGAGCCACCGGAATTCTGTCGCTGCACCTGGCACGTTGGCGTCTGAGCCCCTTACTGGCCTCAGTCACCCCTAAGATGATACCACAGCAGCAAACATGGTTACATGGTTTGGTAACTTTGGTGCCCGGCGCCTCCCTGACTACTTGCTGTCCTTTAGGCGATGGTATGAAGTAGCGCGATGCTACTCGGACAGTATAAGACCTGGCCGGGCCACTAAAGCTGGGGCAGTTCAGACCTCCCGAGGTACCACCGGTACTGATCACGCTGTGCCGTGGAGACCACAACAAGTCTGGCTACTTACTTTCCTTTTGCACAGGGTTCTGGCGCACTGCCATGTTTGCGGAATATACTGAAAGAAATTCGATGATTCTGCTTTTGACAGGCCTTACAAAAGTCAAAGGCTCCCGAGAAAGTCCAACTCAGGCGGATTGATGTCCTTCTTAAAAGCGCCCCACTCAGGCCCCACCCGGCCAATCTGCTGGTGGTTCTCGTTCGCACCCGTGATTCCCCCCCCTTCCTCCCCCCCCCCCGCCAGAGGTTCCGACAGCTCAATGCCGGCCGCATCCGCTGCCACCACCCGGGCCGCTGCCAGCCTGGGCGCAGCCCCCCCCTGCCCCCCCCCGCTGCCCGAACCAACAAATCCGCTTCACGTGAGTCACAATCAAAACCCGGTATATACATGGTTGACCCAGAACCATTTAAAAGAAGCATGAAGGCCGCAGTTATTTATGGCTGGGATCGTCCCTCACTAACCTTCATCTGCCCGGGTTTTGATTGTGGCTCACATGAGACCTTGCCAAATGAAATCATGGGGTCAACCTCCCCCGATAGAGGGGAAAAAAGGTTGCCAGGTTAACACTGGGCAATTGGGGAAGGAGTCTTCAGGCACCTCGCCATTCTTAAAAACGGATATCAATCTCCGGATGGGATCCGGATCCAGGTAGGAGGCCGATGTCCTTCATTGGCAATTCCATCGCATGATCTTTGATCTTCGGGTACCTAAAGAACGGAGGAACCACCTCCAAGAAGCCACGAGCCACCCACCAGTGCCGTCGGTAACAATGTGTTCTTTTGAGGCCTCCTGTAAACTATTGTAAACTGCAAGAATAGGGCCCGACAAGAAGGGACAAATGAGTGATCCGCTTTTGGGTTCGACAATTAAGACTTGTAACAAGGTGAGCAATCCGTGAGAAACAAGTTTCAACGTTTCGGCTCGAGCTCTTTTCCGCTGTGAAACTCGGCCCGAAGGGCCCTGCGGAGCCTTCCACGAGCAAAGCGCCATACATATGTGAGCCACGGTTAACAAACAAATGACACCCTGGTTTGTTCCCTGAAATTCCGTGGTAGGGATGTCTTTGATCGAAGAAGGTACTTGGATTCTGTGGGGTTGATTGCAGTAATTGAATTGCTTTTCCAAAAGCATATATTCTGCATTGATCCGGCCCTGGGCCTGGGCCACAGCAATCACACGGGACCTCGCGTAACTCCCAAACAATCAAAAGAAGAAGACAATATTGCGTCAACCACTTTGGAAGTGCGGAGAAGGAGCTGGTCTCGTGATTCCTTTCATGACGCCGGTTGCAAAGGAAATTGTAAGGAGCTCAAGAACTGGGCCGAACATCTCCGGCGCTTTGCGGCCCTAAAGGCCGGCTCGCGGGCTTCCCAGGTCCCATGCGGGTGCCATGCGGGGCCATTGGCTGACAGGCCCAGAGTCTTGACAGTGGCGCAACCCATTCGGAGCCACCTATTTTTGCACCAAACGATAGGAGACATATCTGGCGAGCGAGCTTCATAAAAGCTTATACGTTTTTGCTCATTCTTGTTCACTGTGCGTTGAGGGGTTGAGGAAGATTGATCAATATGTCTTGGCATCCCCGTTTTGGTTGCGTTTGGGGGAATAAATCATCATGGGGTTGTTTCAGCACCCAGCTTTGACACATTAAACAAGGGGAAACTCAATCAAGCCTGGCACGCACACAAATGATGTGTAAAATATGTGTTCAGCGTACAAACATCACACCAATCAGAAGAACAATTTGTTGAATCATTGATGTTACAAATAAATGCGTAAAACAACCCAACACGGGAGACCTTCAATGTTGAGCTATCCAACTTCCCAACCATATGCCAGGTGTGCCTGGAATGTACGCATTGCACGTGCAAATGGTGCACAATGCGTGGGTGCCTGAAGAATACCGAAGGTACATTCCCAGCGTTAAGTGGTTGGGCCTGTAGAGAGGTTGAGGGGTGGCTAAGTTCCTCCCCAGGTGGGTGACAGGAAAAAATATGTGCTTACCCCAAATGACCTGGCAAAAGACGGGTTTGTGCCTCGCAATTTGTGTGTGTGTGTGTGGCTGCTTTGTTAATTCATGGCAAGTCATACGTCCCAAATTCACCATACGCTACTGGAACCTGTAAAGCCTGGCTTCTGTCAGGCGCTCTCCCCAGTTTGCACTAGCGCCGGGTTTCCGTTCAGTGCGGGAACGGTGGAGAAAACCACGCAGGAACTCCAAGAACTGTCCAGGTGTCTCACTGGGCAAATCTGCGTCCCATACCTCCCTTCCCAAGTTGCCATGGAACCTGCGGAAAAAGGAGTCCTTTGGACCAAGAAAGTCTCTACCAGGGACCATGGCAACCTGGGCATGAGGATAACACTCGTCTCAACTGTAGGTGGTTCCTGCAGAGGTGTTCCCTCAGTGTTGGTTCATTATCAGATATTATCTGCACAGCTTTCTTTCAAGCATTCCGGGCAAATCACGCAGCAACTCCCAAACCTGAAAAAAATGCATCCCCCAAGTAACCCCATGGGGTCCAATTGCTCGTTTCGTGAGCTGAACGAACTTGCCCAGAAATCTTCATGCCTCGAGCAAAGCCAGGGCTCCATCCTCAAACCTCAGGACTTGACTTGACTTGACTGCACGCGAGCCATAGCCACGATGAGTATTCATGTGTCTGTTGTGTTGCCAACTGAAAGCTTGGTGCGTAATCCCTATGTTTCAGTGGATCCCAACGGTACTCTGCTGGTCCCCTCCTACCGGGTGGAAAAAACACACACACACGGCCTGCCTGCAAACGGGTGAACTCATTTTGGGCAACCATGGTGACCTTAACTGACTGGGCTGTGCAAAAGTTGTGCTTGGCCAAGCCTGTTTTGTTCCTAGAAGCTTTTCGCAGGGAATGATCTTGCAGATTGCCTGTGAGAACCCAAAAAGCAACAAACAATGAAGTTTGCAGGAAATTGGATTGCCAAACTCCAGTCCCAAAAACATCCGAGTTTCCTGGAAAACTTCCTGGTTTTCTTGACTGAATAGAGACCCGGATTGCAAACTCAAGGGCGACACTCGTTCATCATGGGGTTGCTCTGAGAGGAAGGACACATACAAAGATAATGACAAAGAGATAGTGAGTGTCTCTGGTCATCACATTTCATTAACGTAAATTGCCATTGGGAACTTTGTTGATGAACAAACACTATGCCTTGACAGAGACTGCATGGGAAGAGATGGCGGTGAAAGGAAATGCTCATCACATATCGTCGCTTGCTTCATCTCTCACGGATTTACTCGCTGCTTGAGCAAGTTCTCGCTAACTGGGGCTGTCCTCAGACCCTCTGCCAAAAGTATAACTTTTAGTGGGTTAAATGGAAAGTATGGAAACCCCCATTAAACCACCTAAAAACCAACAAAAAATCTAAGGCACCAGATGGCCGGGAATCGCCAGGTTGTTCATGGGGAGGTCCACCTTGAGAGTCGTGTTATGTTTAGGCTCTCTGCTATGGGTGGCACTTTGTCACTTTCAGGAATTCCAATAAAGTATCACAGAAATCGGCAACCTAAAACCCAAGTCTTTTTTCTCCCAAGTCTTTTTTCTCTGTGTGCTCGTGACTCATGATGCAGCCTGCCCTTTCTCAGCTTGCCGAGCGGCATGGTGTCTTTGTGCTTGCACCTCGTGAGGGCAGAGAAAGAAAACATCATTTTGGCCTTTGCCCCGCTATTAGTACATCATAGAAATTTGACTTGTCCAAATCAACCTGCCAGTGAGGGCTCCCTGTGTTGGAGAACGCCAAAAGAGTCCAGGAGGGACCTCGAACCCCAAAAAACAGACTCATAGAGCCGCCAACCCAACCCCCGTCCGCCAAATGGTCTGCGGAGAATATCCATTCGGGAGGCTCGCCCGTTGTTCAATCAATCTTGACCCAACCACTCTTTGTACCTCCAAGAGGAGCTCAGGATAAGCCCCTAAAGGTCGTGATAACCTTCAATAGGTGACAGCTCACTCCCCCTTCAGTTCGTTTCTTGGGGTCCATGACCTTGGGACAAACAGGTCTTTCTGCTCAAAGCTGGTCGATTAACCCAACTTGCCCAGCCCCAAGGGGGGCTTGGGACCGAATCGTGCGCCTCAGTTGTGCCAAGTCCAGCATCAGCTGGCGCAGCACTTTCCGGCGCCGCTCCACAGCCACTTTCAAACGCTCCTCGGAATGTGGAGAAAGGGGCCATGAGAAAATTATTGGACACCCTGGACCAGACTGCAAAAGGGTGAGAAGGATTCCATCATATTCCATCAATGGGGGTGTCACGAGGCCTGAATCTCTGACGACATAGAAGGTTGTCCCGTTGTGATGTTGAGAAGGGAAGCCCCTTCAAACCAAACAGAAAAAAAGGGACAGGGCCCCTTCTTGTTCGTTGATGTTAAAAAGGGGAACCAAGTTCTTCAAACAAATCAGCTTCCCTCCAATTGGGGGGGGGGGTTGGATTGGTGCTTTAGAGGTTAGGTGGTTTCCCATTTACCCACAAGAACCAGAGGTTCAAATCCCCGTCCCATCCAAACCACCAGTGGGTAACCTGCAAGAAGAAGAAAACCAAAATGGAATCCGCTAGTTGCACCTAAAGCTCGGCGCGGCTGCGGGCGCGCCAGGTATCCAACACCAGGCGGAGCAAAGGAGACCTGTCCTGATATCCGGCGAAAGGCGCGCCTCCCACGAAGAAACGCGGAAGTTCACAGTCTACAGACTCCACAAGCTGCAAGAACGCTGTCTACTAATCAAGGAAAGTACCCCTAGGGTTGACCCAGCTTCGGTTCTTTCATTTGCAGGTCTGGAGAGAAAAACGACACCAAACCAAGGAAAGACAAAATCAAAGGCATAAAGGAACTGGCCAATGGCACCTACTCACGGTGTGTTTTGGTTTGGGGACCCAATTTGGGGAGAAAAAAACAACAGTCTAACCCAGCTGTGGGCTATATTCGGGCCATTGAGTTTGACGCCACGCTGAGCGGTACCAACAGACCTTGACTCCCTTTCCGGGCGGTTGCCAAGCAGGTGACATTTTGCAAAACATGGATGGCCCTGGTAAATGGAATCAAACCTATCTAAACCAGTGCCAGCTATGTCTAACGAAACTAACCTGAAAAGGACACCAGTGTTTCCAAGGAGAAGGCGCTTGAATTTGAACAAACCTGGCCAAGCGGGTCTTCAGGGCTGCTGTGTTTGTCCATGTGGGTTGGGGGGGAGATGGTGTGTCCGCAATGGCCTATCCCTCAGAATCAAGCGCCGCAAACTCTCGAATATACACTTGTTGCTTGCTTTGGATCCTAG